CCTGCTCAGTATGCTTTGAATTGACAGTCTTTATAGTAATGTGCAACCTAGGGAGGTAGTGTAGCACTATGGAGGATGTTGATGCATTTAAGAAGTTTCATTTCTTCTTCATATTGTGTTGGTTGATTGAGTGAATTAGTGATCTTATGACCCTTGAGTTGTGTGGTGTTGTGGACTCTCTACCTGTCATGGACTCTTGTATCATATTTTGAGTTTAATAGGTGCTCGAAAATGTGCTTCAAAATAACGTCTCCCGTGCGAATAGGGCGAAAGTGTGTAAGGGGAGACGGGAATTCGTTCCCAATTTCCACCTACTACCTCCAGCCCCCTTACATGTCTTTCCCCCGCACGAGGCTCGAGACATCCGCTCCTGGCATGGCCGGTAAGAGCCGGTTGGGACCCTTGAAAAAAGAAAAAAAAGAGAAAAAAAATAACAGAAAACAAGCAAAACAGAAAGAAAAGGGGTTCCAACCATCTTCAAGAAGAAAATAGAGCACCTTGAAAAATGTGAGTCCATGATCCTTTGTTTTTTAGAATCTCTTCATCCACAATTCATTTGTCCTCTGTTCACTATTTGCCATGATGCTGAATCGATACTAGTGCTCTCGCCGCAGAAGCTATGAGATGACTTGTGCGTCGGTTGACCTCGTAAGTTGCTAAATGATCTACGAAGTCCTCTACCTACGATCTGAGTTGTTTGTTGCTATAGAGGTCTGGAGAGTTGCATTGGTTTGAGTTAGGTTTTCTTGGGGACAAGCAAATGGTTAAGTGTGGGGGAGTTTGATAACGATGTAATTGCACCTATTTGCGCCCCTAGTTCTTATCCGTTTGAGGAGCATAGTCGTGTATTTTGGCCTATTTTATGCCGGGTTGCGCTATTTTGTCATATTTCAGGTCCCAGGCGTCAAAGGGAAGGCTAAGCACGAGTTTCGGGGCATTCGAAAGTCATTTCGTCGAGCTGGAGCCAAAACACGGGCACACCTAATTCATTACACGGCCGTGTTCTCCCAAAGCACGGCCGTGTTCTCTCCAAAACACGGCCGTGTTCTGTGGCCATGCTTTTACTGCCGAGAGCTAATTCGAGTTTGGAAAACATGAGCTGATTACACGGGCTAAAAGCACGGCCGTGTTCTCCCAAAGCACGGCTGTGTTCTCTCCAAAGCACGGCCGTGTTTCTCCCAACACATGGCCGTGTAATTAACACTAGCCAAAGCACGGGCGGGCTGAGGCATTACACGGCCGTGCCCTCGACCGTGCTTTGGCCAGTGATGCCTTTTTAAGCAGATTTTCAGCCAAAGAGAAGGGGATTCGAGTTTTTGAGAGAGAGAATGATTCATAGAGAGAGAAAGCGACGAACAAGAGTCTCCAAGTGCCCTAGCTTGATCTTCAACACCATTGGAGGCCAGTTTGAGTTTGGAGAAGTGCCGATCAACGTCCAGGAGCAGGAATCCATCCTTCACAGTATGAATTCCGCGTCTGATTCTGCTTTTGCTTCTTTTTCTATGGAGTAGTTCTCTCATTCATCTGGGTATGGAGAACCCTAGATTTGTATGTTAGGCTTTGATTGTATGAACCCAAGTACTGATTCTATTATTTGATTATATCGATTGAGGTTTGAATGATTGAATGACTTGAATCCTGATCAAATTCCTGTTGTTTCTGCTTTAACCTAGAATGAGAATATCTGCCTAGGTTGATAGAGCATCCTTGATTGAAGGTAGGGAGTTGGTGACTTTAGTCGAGGAGCCAACTCACTATTCTGTACCGGATTTACTCCGGTAGTGGAGGTTTTGTTTGTTAAGGCCTCAATCTGTTTACTCCGGTGGAGGTTAGTCGCTCGCCCACTAGAGACTCAGATTGAGAGGGTCTGAAGACCTTTAGTCGAGACTTCAGGCTGTTTAAGAACTTTCCGCAGTATAACTATCATAGAAACTGAACTTGGTAATTACAATCCGGCTTAACTGCAGTCTAGGGGGAACCATATCCGGGTGACCTCTCTTAACTTGAATACAACAGTTTACTTGCTTTGTTAGTTTGTTAGTTTAGACTTGCATTAAAGTTTCATTGCTAGATAACAAGAATTCACTGAGTAGTCATCAAATCTAGGACCCGGGTTGATAATTAAACCTAAACCCGCTATACTACGCTTTAGGAAGTGGTTACACTTGACCAATTCCTGGAGTGATAGTAGAAGTGAGTCACAGGCCCATCAATTCTAGAATGCAAGTCATGCCATGGTTTGCCTAGGATCCTTGGTCCCCGCCTTGAGCACAAACAACGAAAGTCAAATTCAGAACAATATAAAAATAAAAAAGTTGAGGTCAAGGGGAATTTAATGACATTCTAATGCTATGTGCCTATGCCTTTAAAAGGAAATAATTAGACTGGAGCAATGGAAGTAAATGAAATGAGATTCCCCTAAATGAGCAAGCATAACTGAATTCTTAATAGTAAAAGAGAACGAGAGAAGAATTTGACTGCTCCATACTCACAGGAAATGTAGGATTGTAGAAATCATTCTTGAACTAAGAATCAAGATCACGAAACAGACGGTGCTCATGGTGTCTTACAGCCCATCACAAAGATTTGAGACCTCCAACGAATGCAGTTAACTTCCTTTTATTACCAGGAGCGTGCGTGTCCACAGGAATGCATTTCTGATGATGTGTAAAGACAGTTCCAATAACCTGAAAGATAGGTAGAGAACAAAATCATTGGCAGATTCAAGAGTATAATTGAAGCAAAGTCTTCATTATTAAGAGTTAACCCCAAAACAGCAGCTCCCTATGACAAGACCCAAGATGCAAAGACAAAGATCACTGGAGTCAATCACGTAGACCATCACATGGGATCCTCTAATTTGTTCATAAACCCCCGTAAGGTCATTCAGATAAGTAGCAAACTTTAATACCAAACACATTCTCCTGTGGCCAAAATAACTTCTTTAGACTCAACTTCACCTATACACACAACTGTTAATATCAAACCAGCTCATACATTTGTATGAACAGTAATACAAACTTACCAATTATTTCATAATGCTAAGCTTACTGTTGGATAACACACATATCAGTGAAGAATGCTTGAAATACTTCTGTGTCTCTTTATCATGAGTTTGCATCATTCACTCCAACCTACAATCCAGTCTCTTCAAACCAGAAAGAACGATCACCACAACCATCAAATAATAGCAGAGAGCAAATAGTCGCATAGTAATTGTAGATTATTAATAAAATTTACAAGAACCCATTCACCAGATCCCAAAAAAAAAACTCTCTTTGTGCTGTTATGTGCTTTGCACTGAATCCACACAGAATCTCAAGAGAGTGTACATATAATATCCACTTATATTGGCAAGTTCATTTCACAAATTCACTATAAGAGCTTATCAATAAAACTAAACAGGGTTCTCATCATAGAGATGCCAAATTTATCATGAGAGGTTTTTTCATCCCAAACCAGCAGCAGAACTCTGACTCCTTGCATCGATGGTCCGGGATACAGGGGTTTTCACTCCTAGCAAAGCTTAGCAATGAGGAAGGCATAACCTCCTGTTGGGTTGGTCCAACTCATATGGTGGTTGGATTGACCGGTTTGAGTTTGAATTTTGGTTGGTTTCTAGAAGATCCTCTATTTTCAAAATAGAGAGTTATTGTCTATTCAAAAAAAAAAAAAAAAGAGGTGACAGCCTTTCATTTTTTCCTAGAGAGAGAATCAGAAAAGAGAAGAGATAAGGAAAAAGAGAGAAGAGAGAAAGAGCTGCAGTTTTTCGTTTCTGCAGCAGGGCAGCCTGTTCAAGTGAGCGTTCTGGAAGATTGAACCGTTGGATCGTCCTGAAATTTAAGAAGTGGGTTCGCAATTGTCTGGGATTCATTCTGACCGAAGGGATCGTTATTCTGAGATCTATTTCGTCGGGAATATCTGCTGGACAGAAGGTGTACGAATCTGTTTTTGGGTATCTCTCAACCTTTCTTTGCCTTGCTCTTGTTCTTGTTATCCACCATGTTGGTGAGAGCTATTGTGGTTGATTTTTGATCCAAGAAGGGTGTTCTTGAGGTGTTTGTAATCCTCTAGCTAGTCTATAGAGGACTTGTAATCCCACCAAGTCTAGTGGAGTTGTGGCTTGGACAAAGGTCCCGTGGTTTTTCCCGATTTGGGTTTTCCCCGTAAAAATCGTGTGTCTTGTGCATTCTATTCTTGCTTGTGGTTTCTGCCCGGTTTCTCAACAGTGGTATCAGAGCATTAGGTTGTTTGAGGGCTGTGTTTGGTGAATGGCAAAATTGGTATCTAGCATGTTGAATGAAGAGACAAGGAGAAAAGAGTTGGGGATTACAACAGAGTCACATGCTTTGGTGGCGGATAATTCTAGAAGTCGTGGAAGAAGCAGAAATCGAAATTCCAACTTCAAGAACTCTCAGAATCGAAGTAACAGCCGAGGGAGATCAAAAGGGAGATCAAAATCATTGTCAAGACCAAGAGGAGAAATCACATGTTATCATTGCAACCAGCCCGGACACATGAAGAGAGAGTGTAGAATCTTGAAACGAGAACAAGCTAGAGGAAAAGGTGTGGAAAACCAAGAAAAAGATGAAACTACTGCTGCTGCCACAGATGGTGATGTGGTCATTGTTTGTGATGCTGGTTTTGTTAACCTTGCTTGTCAAGAGAGTACATGGGTTGTTGACTCGGGTGCCTCATTCCATGTGACATCACGGGTTGATTTTTTCTCTTCCTACACAAACAGTAACTATGGTTGTGTGAGGATGGGAAATGATGGCGCATCAAAGATTGTTGGCATGGGTGATATTCATCTAGAGACCAACACGGGTTGCAAGCTAGTCTTGAAGGATGTGAGACATGTTCCTGACATGAGGCTGAATTTGATATCCACGAGAAAGCTTGATGATGATGGTTATACCAAATATTTTGGAGAAGGAAAATGGAAGCTATCAAGAGGTTCTCTAGTGGTGGCTAAAGGCAAGAAGGAAAGTACGCTCTACATGACGAATGCAAAGCATAGCAAGGGAGGAATCAATGTTGCTGAGAAAGATTCTTCCATTGAGCTTTGGCATAAGAGACTCGGTCATTTGAGTGAGAAGGGGCTGCAAATATTGTCCAAGAAACAACTCTTTCCCGGAGCTAAAGGTACTCTTCTTAAAACTGGTGTTCATTGCTTAGCCGGAAAAACTCATAGAGTTGCATTTCATAGATTTCCACCTTCTAGAAGGAGCAAGGTACTTGATCTAATTCACACTGATGTTTGTTTTATGCGAGATAAAACTCTTGGTGGTGCAAGCTATTATGTTACCTTCATCGATGATCACTCAAGGAAGGTGTGGACATATGCTTTGAAAACAAAGGATCAAGTGCGAGATGTTTTCAAGCAATTTCATGCTGAAGTGGAAAGGGAAACCGGCCTGAAGTTGAAGTGTGTAAGGGCTGATAACGGGGGAGAGTATAGAGGTCTATTCGAAAGCTACAGTAGATTGAACGGAATTAAACTGCAGAAAATTGTACCCAAGACTCCACAACAAAACGGTGTCGCCGAGAGGATGAATAGAACAATTTGTGAGAGAATCAAGTGTATGCTCTCACATGCCAAGCTACCTAAATCATTTTGGGGAGAAGCAATGCGTACAGCGGTTGATCTAATCAATCTCTCACCATCGGTCCCATTGGAGGGTGATGTGCCTCAACGAGTATGGACGGGAAAGGAAGTCTCATATGAACACTTGCGAGTGTTCGGTTGCAAAGCCTATGTTCATGTTCCAAAAGATGAGAGAGCAAAGCTTGATGACAAAGCAAAGCCATGTATATTCATGGGCTATGGGCGTGAAGAGTTTGGGTACAGATTATGGGATCCAATTGCAAGGAAAATTGTTCGGAGCCGGGATGTGATCTTTCTTGAAAATGAGACAAGTGAAGACGTCGAAAGGGTTGAAAAGAAGAAAAATACAGCAGCTGGTCCGGTTAATTTGGAGCCTATATCTCCATCCCAAATGCATGAAAATGTTGAGGAAGTAGTGCATGATGAGCCCCAAGGTGCACTAGATCAAGAAGTGCAAGGAGAAGAGCAATTGGAGCAAGAAGAACAAGTTGAAGAAGAGCAACCTATATTGAACCAAGAAAGTCAACAAGAGATCGCAAAGCTTCCACTTGGTACTCCCCTCATGAGTACCTATTGTTGACTAACGGGGGAGAACCCGAATATTATCAAGAAGCCATGTCTCTAGAAGACAAGGAGGAGTGGAACAAAGCAATGCAAGAAGAAATGAAGTCTTTGCAAGAGAATCGCACCTATGATTTGGTGAAACTACCCAAAGGAAAAATATCACTTAAGAACAAGTGGGTCTACAAGTTAAAGACGGAGAAAACTAGTTCAAAGTCTCGGTTTAGGGCGCGACTAGTTGTGAAGGGTTTCAACCAAAAGAAAGGTGTTGACTTTGAAGAAATTTTCTCTCCCGTGGTGAAGATGTCCTCTATCCGAGTTGTGCTTGGGTTGGCTGCAAGTTTGGACTTACAAGTTGAACAACTTGATGTGAAGACAGCGTTTCTTCATGGTGACTTAGAGGAAGAGATATACATGGATCAGCCGGAAGGGTTCGAGGTTAAAGGCAAAGAAGATCTTGTATGCAGATTGAGAAAGAGCTTATATGGGTTGAAGCAAGCACCAAGGCAATGGTACAAGAAATTTGACTCATTCATGGTAAAAAAACCAAAAAGAAGGATCACCACAACCATCAAATAATAGCAGAGAGCAAATAGTCGCATAGTAATTGTAGATTATTAATAAAATTTACAGGAACCCATTCACCAGATCCCAAAAAAACCCTCTTTGTGTTGTTATGTGCTTTGCACTGAATCCACACAGAATCTCAAGAGAGTGTACATCTAATATCCACTTACATTGGCAAGTTAATTTCACAACTTCACTATAAGAGCTTATCAATAAAACTAAACAGGGTTCTCACCGTAGAGATGCCAAATTTATCATGAGAGGTTTTTTCATCCCAAACCAGCAGCAGAACTCTGACTCCTTGCATCGATGGTCCGGGATACAGGGGTTTTCACTCCTAGCAAAGCTTAGCAATAAGGAAGGCATAACCTCCTAAGTCAAACTTCTCCAATTCCAATCACGAGAGCATTGCTACTCTTTTTTTATAAGAGACCACAATTACTCTTTCTACCTCACCAACTCTTTCTTCATCTGTTGACAAATCTGCGGCGACTACCGTAGCTTTGTGGCCGCCATCAAGGCAGCATAGCTCGATTCAAAACCACATGCATCGAGAAGCAGGGTACCATCAGGGCACCTCCCAGAAGTTAATCTGCTAACTGCTCAAAGTGTTAGCAGATACTAACAGGGCTCGATTTTGCGCCACGTCGGCGAAGTCTTCATCCAACGGAGGGGAGAGGCAGCGTGGTAGTGGCTCACTTAAGTGAGCCGTAGGTGGGCCAACGTGTAGAAGCTGGCTCAACATGCGGCGGCGGCGGATCCGAGCAAGTGGCGTGGTGGGCTGGTGGGCCGGGCTTGAGTTTGGGGGGAGAATGGATAGGAGTGGAAAGAGAACGAAAATTGATGGGCCCCCTTTGATATTTATGTATGTTTGTTTGTGTGGATATTTATTTGTTTTCAGTCGATATTATTTTCTGTTGTGTTGATATTACTTTGCATCATTGTTGAAATGAACTAGTATTCTTTCTTCGCAAACAATATCCATCATTAAACAAATGTTTAACGGCGGCCCAAAATAACCCAACCACCATAAACTGATTACACCAATTTATAGTTTAAGTTTTAGGGTTATGGTTTTCAATTTGTGAAGGATTGAAATATTTTGTTTTACATCAAATTAAACACACTATCAAGTCCTAACACATAAGGCTTGCAACCTTAGTTAGGGCTGCCCGCCGAGGGCCCATGGGCCGAAGGCCCATTAAATAATAATAGTTTTTATTGTTTATAGTTTATTTTTTACGGTTTATGGTATAGATTTGGTTTAGGGTTTAGGGTTTACGGTATAGAGCTTAGGGTTAAGGTTTCAACAATAGGGTTTGGGTTCTCTTTTAGCATATAAGGTTTAGTCTGGTCAGTATGAATATCTATTATTTCCTAATTATATTGTTTTTAGAGTTTATTTAGTAGTGTTCATTGCTTAGGGTTCGGGGTTAGGGTTTCTTGTTTCAATGTTTCATGTTTTATTTTAGATATTTATGTGTAACCTTTGAATATTCTTGGCTTGAGCAAACAATAATAGTTTTATTTTTTTAGTGTTTAGTGATTAGGGCTTTAGGGTTTAGGGTTTAGGGTTTAGGGTTTAGGGTTAGGGTACAAATAGAAGATATTAGTTGGTGTGTTGGGATACTTGTCTTTCGTAGTTGTAATACTTTTTACTAAACACATGATATTTATTTAAAACATTCTGATATTTTCCGGGTTGTGTGGATATTTATTTGAACCTGAGAAAATATTCCTTTAGTTCATGTGTTTAGATATTATGTGGAACCTTTGAATATTCTCGGCTTGGGCAAACAATAATACTTTTATTTTTTTTAGTGTTTAGTGATTAGGGTTTAGAGTTTAGAGTTTAGGGTTAGCGTACAAATAGAAGATATTAGTTGGTGTGTTGTGGATACTTGTCTTTCGTAGTTGTAATACTTTTTACTAAACACTTGATATTTATTAAAAACATTCTGATATTTTGCGGGTTGTATGGATATTTATTTGAACCTGAGGAAATATTCCTTTAGTTCATGCGTTTAGATATTTGTGTGGAACCTTTGAATATTCTCGGCTTGGGCAAACAATAATACTTTTATTTTTTTAGTGTTTAGTGATTAGGGTTTTAGAGTTTAGAGTTTAGGGTTAGCGTACAAATAGAAGATATTATTTGGTGTGTTGTGGATACTTGTCTTTCGTAGTTGTAATACTTTTTACTAAACACTTGATATTTATTTAAAACATTCTGATATTTTCCGGGTTGTATAGATATTTATTTGAACCTGAGGAAATATTCCTTTAGTTCATGTGTTTAGATATTTGTGTGTAACCTTTGAATATTCTCGGCTTGGGCAAACAATAATAGTTTTATTTTTTAGTGTTTAGTGATTAGGGTTTTAGAGTTTAGAGTTTAGGGTTTAGGGTTAGGGTACAAATATAAGAAATTAGTTGGTGTGTTATGGATACTTGTCTTTCCTAGTTGTAATACTTTTTACAAGCAACATGATACTTCTTAATAATATTTTGATATTTTTCCGGGTTGTGTGGATATTTATATGAACCTGAGGAAATATTCCTTTAGTTCATGTATTTAGATATTTGTGTGTAACCTTTGAATATTCTCGGCTTGGGCAAACAATAATAGTTTTATTTTTTTAGTGTTTAGCGATTAGGGTTTTAGAGTTTAGGGTTTAGGGTTAGGCTACAAATGTAAGATATTAGTTGGTGTGTTATGGATACTTGTCGTTCCAAGTTTTAATACTTTTTACTGAAAATACGATATTTGTTTAAAACATTTTGATATTATTCCGGGTTGTGTGGATATTTATTTGAACCTGAGGAAATATTCCTTTAGTTCATGTGTTTAGATATTTGTGTGTAACCTTTGAATATTCTCGGCTTGGGCAAACAATAATAGGGTTTAGGATTTTGGGTTTAGGGTTAGGGTACAACAATTTGATATTAGTTGGGGTGTTGTGGATATTTGTCAGTCTTTGTTGTAAATTTGTTTTACTTATTTATTGATTTTTGCTTGTATTACGTGGATATGTTTTTGGGTTGCTTGGATATTTGTTTGAACCTAAAGAATATTCATTTATTTTTTGTGTTGGATATTTGTGTGGTTTGTTGAGATACTATTCGTGGTGGCGTGGATACTTTTTATGGTGAACATCTTAGTATGGGTGGGCCCGAATCAGTTTTGGGTGGGCTTTTGGGTCTTTTCAAAAAATTGGGGAAAGAAAAGAAGTGATAGGGCAATTAATGCCACGACTACTTTTTCTCTCTCAACTCTCCCAACCCCTCATTCTCTCTTCTTTTCTCTGAATTCCCTCTTCCTCTTCTCCAACGGAAAAGTCGCCGGCGGCGGCCTGTCTTTTTCCTCTTCATCCTCCGCCGTCCAAGAAACGTTGCTGATGATGATCGATGATGAGGCCGAGTTAGATCGTCCATCAACGAGCTCGTCCCATGAAAAAGAAGAATTTGTTGATGGTGTATTAGAAGGTTTGACTCAAATAGATGGTGGTTGTGTGTTTGGCTTCGATGCAATAGTACAAGAAGAAGAAGAAGAAGAAGGTGATTGTGGATTGACATATTTATAAGTTTGTGTTGTTGAGTTTTGGTTGGGAGAATTGAATGAAATTTAATGTCTTTGGTGTGAGTTTAATGTTTGTTGGTTTTCTGGGATTCTACTATGAGCTAGTTGGATACTAGTTACCTACTGTTTGTTGGACGTAGTTTGTAGCCTATGTTTAATTTGTACGGATACTAGTCTGGGCATTTTTTATATTCATTCATTTATTGTGGATACTAGTATGTCGGATTATAGTGTGGATACATCGTTGGAGCAATAGGATACTAGTTTAAGATTCATGGATACTACTGTTTACGGATATTTGTTAGACGTATTCTGGGAATTAGTCTGGGCACATTGGATACTAACTGGGAATGGAAATATCTCGCAACTCACAACACTTCGGACCTAGAAGATGATGAACCGAGGAATAACCTCTTTTTCGCACTAAGGAAGAGTGTGTTCGTTTCTACGAACGCTATGCTCACAAAAAAGGGTTTGGTGTTCGAGTAGATTCGCAACATTTGAGAAAAAGAAGACAACTGAAGGAGAGGTGGTGGAAATTTATGCCTACCTTTATTATGTTTGTAATAAGCAAGGGTCATCGGAAGAAGTCAATGTTGAGAAACAGAAACATGGAGAGGATCGGTTGTAGAGAGAAGCCGCCCTAAAAGAAAGAGGTCTCGAATTAGGGCTGAATGCCCCGCCCTTGTTCGTTTCCGATGGGATGAGAATAGGGATGGATATGTGGTGCACAATTTCATTGGAGCTCACAATCATGATTTGCACTCCACCAAGCATGCTCACCTATTAAAGTCAAACAAGTCCGTGAGCGTTCCTCAAGGACTTGTTGCTGAAGCAAATCGCAATGCCGGGATGAGTCTTAGATCATCGTATCAGCTATTGGCTGAGTGTGCCGGAGGGTATGAGAACTTGACTTTTACCAAATGTGATCAGAAGAACCATTTGAACAAGAACAGACAAAAGACTATGTCTCGTGGCGAAGCGACTTTCTTGCTTGACTACTTTCAAGACCAAAAGGAGAAGTATCTCGACTTATTTTATGCTGTAGTGGTAGATTGTGAGGAGAAAGTAGCCAATATTTTTTGGGCAGACAGTAGGATGCGTGAAGATTATGCACTTTTCGGAGACTCTGTCTCCTTCGACACCACCTTCCGAACCAATAAATACTTCCGGCCATTGGGTATGTTGACCAATTATTTTCCTTATTTTTTTGGCATGCAAGCGGTTATGCATTGTTTTTAATACCAAGTCTTTTGCAGGGATGTTTGTAGGTTTCAATCATCACCGACAAACTTGTGTGTTTGGCGCTTGTTTGTTATATGACGAGACAACTCCTTCTTTTGAATGGTTGTTTGAAGCATTTAGTCGGTGCATGAAGAGGAAACTCCCAGTGACCATCTTCACGGATCAGGACGCCGGTATGGCAGCTGCCCTTAGAAAGGAGTGGCCAGATGTGCTTCATGCCCTCTGTACTTGGCACATCTTGATGAATGCGAAGAAAAATCTTCGTAAGAGCAAGAAATTTTGGCATAAGTTCCAAAATCATCTTGCTTATCTTTTCTAATACGTCGACAGCGAGGCCGAGTTTGACGAGGCATGGAGAAGCATGGTTTCTGATTGTTTTCCCAATAGTGAAACTATCGATGGCCACCAATGGATGCAATACTTGAAGAAATTTCGTCATCAATGGTGTTCCTTATATCTGAGAGATCAATTCACAACGGGAATGTTGACAACGCAAGCCAGTGAGTCGTGCAATGCACAAGTGCGACTCTTCTTGAAACCGAAACATAATCTCGACGAGTTTTTCATCCACTTTAACTGGTACGTTGTCCAAATACTAGATGGAAATTTATGGATATTACTTAGTAAATTATGGATATTTTTAGATGCTTTTCAGGTATTTGTATGTGATAGTGTGATTCATTTTTTTTGTTGTTTGGATATTTGCTCTGTTTGTATACGGATATTAGTCTGAGCAATTTGGTTTTCTTCATACATGCAGCTTGTTGGCTGACAAAAGGCGCAAAGAGACTGAGTCCAACTACGATGGGAAACAATCAGCCCCTTACATAGTGTTGGAGAAAAGCTCGATCCTCCAACATGCTGTCAAGATCTTCACGAAAAACATCTTCAACCGGATTCAAGAGCAGTATCTGGAAATTGAAGACTATCTAATTGAGCTTGTCCCAGATAATAGGTATGATGGATTCATTAGCTACCGAACATATAAGATGGAGGATGGTGAGCGTAGCGATGAACGTGTCACTCTTGTCGATACTTCTACGGCCACATTGGTATGCGATTGTAGGATGTTTAGAACATTCGGGGTCTTATGTCGGCATATGCTTAAGGTGATGCGATTTCTTGGAGGGTTTGGGAACGATAGTATGAGAACTATTCCAGATCATTACATACTCAAGCGATGATTGTTGGAGGCGAGAAGAAAAGAGGTTGGTGATGCTGATGCTTCAGGCGATACTTCACATAGTCATGAGAACGAGACGGGAAAAAGGAGATATAGCAATGAGGTACCGAGAAACCACTGCAATGTTTAATCAGCTCGCAACAAAATTGTCAATGGCGGATGAGAAAGTGTACAACAGGTGGATGGGAGCATTGCAGAAAGTGTGCAAGGAGGCAAACAAGGCATTGTCAAAGACTATAACTAGCAAGGACGGTAAGTGTATCGAATATTTTTTGTAAATTAGTATAATTTAATATCATTGGACGGATTACTTAAGCCACTAACATTGTAGGGAATTATGTACCAACAAGTGGCCAGAGAAGAGTAATCCAAGGAAGCACGGCAAGTAACTTTATAAGTCAAGGAATGAGAAAGAGCGTCGTCGAAAGAAGATTGTCTATGGAAAGAGATTGAAAGCAGTGGAAGTGCTCACACAGGACACCCATTTTCAACATGATGACCATCTCACTGACTTGGAAGACGACCTTGCTGAATTTGGGTGTGGATATTAATTTGTAAAACTCGGATATTTTGTAAGCAAGCTACGATATTTCTCTACGTTGTCAGGATATTAGTATGCATTGTAGGGATATGTCTTTTGGTTCTACAAATATGTTCTCTAAACATTCGGATAATTTTGTTATATTTTATGTATGTGGTTGTGTGGATTTTATGTATTTCCATCGCATATGCTCAGATTTTAGTTTGGCTGTTTTGGATATCACTTTGGGTCATATGGTATACTTTTGTTGAAGGAAAGATATTCTTAATCCATCCATGATAAAAAAAAATCAGGGATATACTTAGTGTTGTCTACTTTAAACTAATAAATCGAGCAATTTAATCAACATAGTTAGTGTTTACTTTTGTCCAAAAATTACCAAAATAACACAATCACCTTAAATTAATAAAGCGAGGGATCAGGATAGAGTTAGTTTTTCCTTTTCTCCAAAACGTCCCAAAATAACCCTATCACCTTAATACCGTAACATCAACATATGTCCCATGAAACATAAGGAGGTAAGTTTCAGCTACTCTTCCCTTTCTCCTAATCTTTTTCCCACTCATTTGCCTCCTCAAGTATGACATTCCTTACTTTGTTGTATTTCCATTGAAGGAGACTGCCGGCAATGGATGCTCGCTGGTGCTCCACGTGCTTTGCCAAGTGCCAAGTTTCCTTGTATTCCGATGGAATGTGACCCGCCCAGTGCTCCATGAACATGCATGCGAACACTCCACAATCATCGTTTCCTTTTTGTTGAGGAAAATCCGCAATTAAGAATTCCCAATCATGCAAGGGAGCATCGATGTTGTGCTTTGCAAGGAAAGCAGCTCCATACTCTAATATCAATTTCCCCATGGGACTGTGATCCACCTTGGCCACTGCTGGCTTGGGTTTTATGCTATCCAGAAGGAAAGTCTTCTGACTCCTTAGATCAGCAGCGTAGACCCAGTAGTGATGGTCTGTATGCACAGGGGAAAAATCTGAAACATAGAAAAAAATCAGTTATTCACTCGGATAAATATCCAAAAACCCCATACTAGTATCCAAAACTAACATTTCAGATATTCACAGGCAAATCTTCAAACAAATCAATTATTCTCTCGGATAAATATCCAAAAAACCCAGACTAGTATCCAAAACTAACATTTCAGATATTCACAGGAAAATCTTCAAACAAATCAATTATTCTCTCGGATAAATATCCAAAAAACCCAGACTAGTATCCAAAACTAACATTTCAGATATTCATAGGCAAATCTTCAAACCCAGACAATTATTCTCTCGGATAAATATCCAAAAAACCCAGACTAGTATCCAAAACAACGTAAATCAGTATCAAGATAGAATAAGGATTCACTTACATATTCTAATTTGTCCCATGCAACACATTTGAAGACTAGAACCCGCTGGGTCACTTCAACGACAGCATCGAGTCTCTCCTTGGACGGGGCACACTCGTCTGAGAATTAAGGATGGCAAGTTGTTGTTTGCAAAGGAAAACAATAACTAATTAGTTATTGAAAAATCTAAATATTGTAAGTTGTGATTGAAGAGCCTACTTACACCAAAGGTGAACGAAAAGATAACTCTGTTCTTGTCACCAACAAGTGCCTTGTCGTTCAAGAAATGACCATAAGCCTCAACCACTTGGATATTGACCCACTCTAATCGCTTCAATGTCAACAGATGAAGACGGGCGAGTTTAATTGAAGGAGTGTGCACCACCAAGCCCTTACCCTCAGGGGTACTGAAGACGAACTCAACCATACGACGAGCAACTGGGTCGAGCTTTGTCGACACATCCTTCGACAAATAATATACTGATGAAGAAGCATATGGGTTCTTCTTCGACCTCTCGAACGCTGGGGTCTTTAGTGTTGCAAGCCTTTCCTCAGGTGTGTAGCTGTACAGACGTTCTTGTTCCTCCTCATTCATAGTCGTCTCATGCTTGATAATCACATCTGGACTCCTCTCAGCGCCATTACAAGCCACTTCTACCAACTCCTCGTCTGTAGGCAACATTCCCATCTCTGCAAGTTGGGAGAACGACTCCACCACATCATGAGTAGTCGTCTCTAGAAATTCCTCCCTTGTCGGCGGGTCTTCTTCCTCGGCATTAGCAGCTGTAGTAGCCTCATGAGCTATCTGCATAATGTCCTCAAAAGTGGTATCTGGGTCTGTATAGTGTATCACCATAGGGACTGTCGGCTCAAACACCTCCTCGATCGGCGTCTCTACAGTCTTCTCTGCTTCATTCTCCACCACCTCAAATCTATTCTTCTCTTCAGGATCTTCTTCACACATCTCTCCAGTTTTCTCCACTTGTGGCTCGACCCGGTCCTTCTCTAGAGGCTGCTCATCCATTTCCATTTTAGCTTCAGGATTCTCTACTTGGTCTTCCACCACCTCTGTTTTAAGCTGCTCTAGCAACTCTTCAACAGTATTCTCCAAACGTCTACTCCTGGAATCCACGACCTTGCACCTGTCATGCTCCTCACTCTTTTCTATCATCTGTCCCAGTTTTGTGGCAAAGTCCACCAATTTTCCCAAATGTCGGTCAATCGTACCACCTAGTACCTTAAGCTGGAAGACAAACGAACATTTTGCGCAAATAAAAAACTATCAACGCACATGTATCCAGTATAGTATCCAAACTGCTTGTGCAATTATCACATGTACCGAAATAGTATCACAAGAGAGCGTACAAATATTCAAGTTGGCAGAATTGATATCCAAAAATAACAAACAGCGAGCTCACAGAAATATCCAAATGCATAACATTAATATCCAAACCTCACAAACCAGTATTCATAACTGAAAAGAAACCACAAGCTGATATCCAAATGAAACAAACAAATATTCCAGAACAACAAACTAAAATCCGACTAATATCCAAAGCCATTCCAACATGGCATCAAATTCACGGAAAACAGTACAACCCCCCACCAAACAACGGAAAACAGTAGATCAAATTCACTCTTGCTGTTCCAAATTCCGGACAATCGTTTGGACCTTGTCCCTTCGTGCCACCCACTTTTCAATCATGCTCTCAGTCATTTCCTTCAATCCCTTAAGCTACACATATGTTGTGAAATATTTAGGTTACTATATCATCCAAGTCTACCAATGCACTATCTTAGTTAGGGAGGAAGAAAATATTTTACCTGCCCTAGCGAAAGGCTAGTCAAATCTTCAGTCTCCCACCATTCCGCGGTGGGCATCGGTGCACGATCTGGAGGAGGAGCTGAACTGCTGGCAGCTGCTGCATTAGTACCCCCAATAGCCACCGGCTGGAGCTGCCTGCGAGAGGCCATTTCTTCCCTATTCAGCAGAGCGGCAGCTAGGTCATATCTTCCCCTGAGTAAGGGGATAGATGTGCTTGCCCTCTCGACACTTTGCTTCCACCAAAACCGGCAGCTAGGTATGGTCTTTGTGTGCAACCCGCCTAGTTTTACAGAGTCCAGCAGATGGAGCTATAAAAAAATTACAATTAATAAATGTTAAGCGCCATTTCTAGCAATTTAATCAACAAATATCCAGTCTCAACACAAATAGTATCTTATGTGACTAAACTGATATCCATAAATCATTTCAAGCTAATTTCTTAAATCATTTCAGTTAGATGATACCCAAATACGAAATTCACTATTTTTCATGCAATTGAACCAACAATTGGAATAAAAGGTTAGGACTTACTATCAAGAAGTAGCAATCTCCGAGAACCCACACACACGGCGAGCCCAACGCCCTTGCACTATGTTCTTTTTTCTTGGCAACAGTCAACTCTACTTTCAGTTCACGGACAATAAATGTACACCAATCGTACACCCTCACGTCCTCAACACTCCCACCTAGGTAAGGGGCAAAGTCCAGCTTGCATCTCCAAGAAAATGTTGGCACGAGCATCGAACCAGTAGCTAGCAACAAGAATTGCTTGACAGCAATTGCAACAGGTGTTCTAGGACCGTTTGCTGGAATGGCCAACTCCCGCAGCTTCTGGATAGGCACCATGCGAGCCCTGTTAGGAATCATGCCAACTTCCTCGCTGAAACTGTCGAGCATCCCCCCCCCCCCCCCTCAACGTTCTTCAAATCAATCACAGCACCACCGAGAGGAAGGTCGTACACACGTGCCACATCCTCAGCTGTGAAGTCGAACACCTTCTTCGATTCTCCTTCCCCAGAAACAAAAGTATTGGTTGAGGGGTCATAAGCAGCCATCAAGTCGTCCATGAAGACATTGGGAATCTTTGGCATGCGAAGTTCCAATAGGCCCCTGAATCCTGCCTTCTCGACTTCTTTCTTGCATGTTTCATAGTATCCAGCATCTTGTTTCCAGTAGCTTATAATTTTGAAGAGGAAATAGGTGGAGCCACGAAATCTGAAGTATGATTCGCATGGTCCCTCTCCCTCATCATCTTCTTCCTCATCTTCCTCCTCACCTTCTGGAATACCAGGCGGCGGCTGCCTCTAGGGGTGATAGCGGTGCAGTTTTGATTTTAACCGAACTGCACCATCAGTTAGCCGAGACCGAGAATCACCCAGCACTGTCAACCAAAGCCGACACCGAAGGGGTTCTCGGTTAACCGCGAACCGCCACTGTCAGTTTCGGCTTTTGGTTGTGGTTTTCCGAGACCGACCCACACCAATTTTGAAGCAGCAGCAGCGGGGGAAGAAGAGAGGCATCAGAGGCGGAAAATCCCAAATTGGGTCTCCCGCAAATCGAGGTAGATGGAGGGAGAAAGCGTCGAGAGGAGGGGAGACTGGAGAGGGAGGAAGGACAGTGGCAGCGGCAGGGCGACGACAATTGGAGAAGGCAGGGTGGGTCGGGATCTCGCTGTTGACCGCCGAGGATGAGGTCAGCAAGGCGGCGACCATCGAGGAACATGCAATGGGAAGCGAAGACGGCAACCAGGTGGGTGAAGTCAGGCGGGGGCGATTGAGGTGGAGAAGTCGACGGCGAGTGACGATTGAGGATGGTGGTGGCTGCCGAGGAACATTGGTAGAGAGCAGAGATTGAGAATGGTGGTGGGCTGGTGGCTGCGGATTGGGAAAGAGTAGAGAGGGGAGAGCCGAGAGGAGAGGGAGAGATTGAGGATGGTGGTGGCTGGCGATTGGGATTCCCAATTTGGGAAAGGGTGGAGAGGGGCGAGCCGAGAGGAGAGGGAGATGGAGATGGTGATTGAAGGGATTTGGAGAAGGGACGTCAAGATCGGGCGGGGCGATTGAAGATGGAACTGGGCAAGGAAGGAAGGAGAGAGAGCGATGAGTGAAGAAGGAGAGGTTTGGAGTCCAGGGAGAGGCAGAGTGGCGATGGTGAGAGCAGAGAGGGAGAGTCTCGAGAGAACTGGCGGTTTTGGCGGTGCACTGAGATTATATCGGTGTAAAACCGTCGATTGCCGGTTAGCAAAAATCCCCAAAACAGCCAACCGAAGGCGACACCGAATCACTATTTTCGGTTATCGATTCGGTGAATAACCGCGGTTTTTGGTTCGGGTTTCGGTTTAACCTAAAAACCGCCAACCGATTAACACCCCTAGCTGCCTCGATCCTTCTTCTTCACGACATCTCAGTGCAACCATTTTCGATCTTTTCCTCTCGGGTTGTTCCTGAAACACAGTTATATATTAAGCAAAATATCCATAATTCTTGGACAAATAACTAAAACGCACAGATAAATATCCACATTAACAGAACTGATATCCACACATCAGACTATATTTTTAAGCCAATATATACAATTATTATCGTAGTAAAGCATAAGTGTATCCAAACGGAGATAACTGATATCCGTGAAAAAAATATCCATATTCCTTGGACAAATAACTAACACGCACAGTTAAATATCCACATTAACAGAACTGATATCCACACATCAGAGTAGATTTTTAAGCCAATATATACAATTATTATCGTAGTAAAGCAAAAGTGTATCCAAACGGAGATAACTGATATCCATGAAAAAAATATCCATAATACCCACAAAAAAAGAACTAAAACGAACAGTTAAGTATCCACACTAACAGAACTGATATCCAGACATCAGATTATTTTTTTAGCCAATATATACTAATCGAGAAACGAAGTGAGAAATCAAACCTTTGGTGGTTGTTTATCCGGTGGCTGCTGTGATGATCCAGCTGCTTCACGAGATTTCCATGCAGATTTTGGTGCAACAGTCTTGGATTTCTTCATCACGGGTTGTTCCTAAAACATAGCTAGTGAATAAGAAAACTATCCAGCCAAGGAAAATATTAAAATGCATCCGACTATTAATTTTTAGCCAACATAACAGATCCAGAAACGGAGTAAGAAATGAAACCTGTGGTTGTTGTTCATCCGGCGGCTGCTGTGATGATCCTTCTCCCTCATTGTTGGGCTTTGACTTCTTTTTCGGTCTCCCCATTCACTGAAACAATATAAAAATTTACCGGAATAAGTATCGGAAGTGACAAAACTGATATACATGTAACCTTTAATCAAGGAATCGACAAACGATACCCAGACTGCTCAAAATCATATCCAACAAACCACCAACATCCTATTCGAGAAACCATACTGAAACAATATAAAAAATGAATAGAATAAGTATCGGAAGTGACAAAACTGATATCCATGTAACCTATAATCAAAGAATCAACAAACAATACCTAGATTCCCCAAAATCGTATCCGACAAACCCCCAAAATGGAATTCGAGAAACCATAAATCTGGAAACTAGGAAACAAAAAACCAGAGCCCCAAAATTCGAATCCCACAGACCCAGATCTGGTAATCTAGAAACAAAACCCTAAACACCCATATTCTAATCCATGAAACCCAAAATCTACAAATCGAGAAACGAAACCCTAAACCCCCAAATTCGAATCCCACGGACACAAAATCTGTAAATGTAGAATCAAAACCCTAAACACCCTAAATCGAATCGCATGAACCATAAATTTTGAAATCGATAAACAAAACCCAGATTTCCACACAAAAAATATATGAAACCCTAACTTACTATCCACAAACAAAATGCACAAATTAAGAGAGGAGAACAAGCCAACCTGAAACCAAAGCTTCTTCCTTCTTCGTCGGTGGCGTCTTCTTCCTCGTCGGGATAGCTTCAACGTGGTTGTCAGCGTGGTTTCCAAGAAGCAGTCGCCGACCTCGCAGCCGTCGTCGCCGTCGCTTTGTTGGTGTGGTTTTCGGGAGAAGAAGAAACCGAGAGGGAGAGGGTTCGAAAGTTTTTTTGGAGAGAGAGAGGGGAGAATGGAAACGCGGGGGCAGAGAGAGAATCGGGTTTTTGGTCTGAAATTTGGGGTTTTTTTTTCTGGCCCCACTTCTCCCAAAAGTGGCTCGGCTTGGGGAAAAAACCAATTCACCCTCACATCATAGCGCCGGCGATCCCTCACCCTCCGATGCTGGCAAGGCGACGTGGCCCTTCATCCTGCCCTGTTAGTATCTGCTAACAACTTAAAGGGTTAGCAGCATAACTAGATTGGGGCACCTACCTCAGCAACTATATTAACTCTTGAATGACCTGTCAATTCTGCCATTTTCAGCCAGAGCAGTGACAAGTGAAAACACATAAAACGACCAAGTTCCCGTGCTGCAGAGATGCGGAACGCGAAGGATTTTGATCCCCACAAAAGAGGGGGGTCAATTGAAGTTGAAAATGACACATAAAGAGGCGGCAAAGGGAAGTCCTCAAGCGGAAGCAGTTGAAGTTGAAGGCTCCTTCGCCAGGCTGATAGCGTGGGGGGTGAGAGAGAAAACGGTTACGGCCACGAGGATGATCAGGATTGGTGTTGTAGACCTAGATCTGGAGACGTTGAGCTCGAGGCGACCGTAGTGAGTGAATCCGAATTCGTCTAAGGGGATGATAGGTGGTCGTCGGATCAGACCTCCGAGAAGCGGATTCACAAGACTCAATTTGTTTTCCGTCTGTGTGCTGGGTGTTTCTATTTGACAAGAATTCATTTGATGGAACAATATTTCCGTCGTATCCTCACAAGGGTGTTGTTGTTAACACAAAAACAAATGAATTGGGAATCTAATCGTGAAAGGAGAGCACTTCTACTATGTTGTATAGCATTGGTGCTTTAATGTACATAACATTAAATATATAAGTTTAGGTTGTATCATAAATGAATTTGTATCATTATGTTATGGTACAACTTTACAACTTGACGTTGTAGCATCACATAAGGTACTAGTTTAAGTTCTACCATAAAAGAATTTGGACAAAAAGTATAGGTACAACCTGAAGTTGTATCATAAAGGCAAAAACCTATAGCATCAATGCTATATAGCATTGTAAAATTCCTCATGAAAGGAATGTACAAAATTTAGGTGCTTTAAACTATCTGAAGATGAAATAATGTGGTTTACATTAAAAATTAATGATTTAAATTGTTAGGGGACTGCACCGCATGTATAAAATTTTATTTGGTGTAGTTCGTAATTATAATTATAAATTAATAATTAATTTTGCACCATTAGATTAGATCAACGGTGCAAAGAATTTGTCACATGCTATGTGTCAGGAGCACACGAGTGTGACTCATATATATATATATATATGTATGTATGTATGGTGACTACTTCGGTGCACTCACAAAAATGAGTGTTCAATGCACCCTACTCAAAAACTAGTCTTAAGGTATCGGATTTTGAATTTTAATTTGTAGAATTAGTGTAATATGATGATATAACATATGATAACAACTAATTAGCGGATTACCCTAAGCCATAAACCTCGAATTTTGAGTTCTATCCCGAAACCCCAAATTGTAAACCCTAACCCTAAATCTCTAAACTCTAAATCCTTCAAATTAAAGTAAATCTTCAATGGTTTTTGTGCAAATTCATGTGTGTTATTGTCCATCACATCTAAGTGATAATTGACATCATTTTGACATAAATCGCATGCTTAAAATGACGGTTATTAAGCAAGGGCACTGAATGCATCCAAAAAAGTGAGTGCACCGAAGAGGCCACCATATATATGGCAAAGGCTAGCGTACGACCGTCATACACTGTGCGCCTGTGTTCACACTTATTAATAATTTTTAATTA